AGGTGGAAGCAATCGTCTCCTAGGAGGTTCCAAAGACGGTTAGAGACGTACAATGCTTTCTTAGTTTTGCCAACTTCTATCGGATCTTCATCAAGAATTACTCTCAAGTTGCTGCTTCTCTCACTCGATTGACATGCAAGGATAAGCTGGAATAGGGACGTCTAGCGAAGAAGGCGTTTCAAGACCTGAAGACCGCATTTACTATGGCTCCAATCTTAGTACATCCAGACTTTACAAAGGCCTTTTATTTAGAAACTGATGCTTCGGATTTTGCTTTGAGAGCTGTACTTTCACAAATGGCAGAAGACAAGAAGCTCCATCCAGTTGTATTCTATTTTCGAAAGTTCTCTGCTGCTGAAATCAATTATGAGATCCACAATAAGGAACTTCTTGTTATAGTGGATTCTTTCCAAGAATGGCGTTACTTTCTTGAAGGAACTGCATACCTAGTGACCATATACACAGATCACAAGAATTTGGAGTATTTCATGCCGGCTCATGTTTTAAATCGACGTCAAGCTCGGTGGAGTATGTTGCTATCTAGGTTCGATTTTGTTATCACTTATCGACCTGAAAAGTAGCAAGGACTATCTTATGCCTTGTCGAGGAGATCGTATCTTGTACCAAAGATTGGAGAAGTAGCGTTTGATCAACTATGTACGACATTGTTGAAGCTAGAGCAATTTTAGCTTTGCGCTACTATTGTACCAATTGATGTTGACTTCCTGAATCAGGTACGTGCCATGACCATTGAAGATTCAGTAGCCATTGATATTAAGCAACGTGCCAATGACGACAAGTTCAAAGTGGAGAGAGATCTTTTATACTTTGAAGAGCAGTTATATATCCCAAAAGGACCATAACGACTCTGAGTTCTTCAATCTCACCATGATTTTCCAACTGCGGGACATTTTGGATTCAACAAGACCTTGAAGCTTATTTCTTGAGATTTTTGGTGGCCCCAAATGTAGAAAGATGTGAAAGATTTTGTCCTCTCCTGCGACATCTGTTCAAGATCCAAGAATCCTCGACATCTCCCTTATGGACTCCTACAGCCATTGTCGATTCCACGTCGACCATGGTCTTCTATTTCCATGGACTTCATCAGGGACCTGCCATCATCAAATTCATTTGACAGCATCTTTTTCGTGGTAGATCGGCTTACAAAGATGGCGCACTTTGTCCCTTGCAAGAAGACATCATCCAGTGAAGTCACAACAAGGCTCTTTCTCGATAATGTATATCGATATCATAGACTACCAGATGATATCGTATCAGATCGAGGAACCAAGTTCGTATCAAAGTTTTGGAGATCTCTCTTTGAGATATTGAAGGTGGATATCAAGCTTTCTTCGGCTTTTCATCCTCAAACTGACGGCCAAATGGAACGGGTGAACCAAGTCTTGGAACAATACTTACGATGCAGCATCAACTATCAGCAAGACGATTGGACCACATGTCTGTCGCTAGCCGAGTTTGCATATAACAACACCCTCCATGCATCGACTCAGTACACACCATTCTTTTCCAACTATGGATATCATCCGAAGCTTGATTTATTATGTCCGTCACCAAATAACAATCCAACAGCTGAAGGATTTGCGAAGCAACTATCAAAGCTTCAAAATACGTTGAAGTTCTAAAAACACTTTGCTCACGAATCCTACAAGGCGTCTGCTGATAGATTTCGAAATCAAACACCTACTTTTGAAATTGGACATAAAGCATGGCTTCTTCGACAGAATATCAAGACCAAGCGACCATGTGATAAATTGGACTATCGAAGATTGAGACCATTTATCATCTAGAAGCAAATCAATCCAGTGGCGTACCGTCTAGAATTACCGGCTTCTATGAAGGTACATCCAGTCTTTCATATTTCTCTGTTGGAGCCTTATTGAGAGTTGTCTTTTCTTGAAGAGTGCAATGTCTGCCACCTAGTATTGAAATCGAGAACCACGAGGAATACAAGGTTGAAAAGATGCTGGATTCACGGCGAAGGTGGGACAAGTTGGAGTATCTTGTTCATTAGTGCGGCTATGACATTAATGAGCGAACGTGGGAGCCAGTTAAAAATCTTGCCAATGGGCCGCAAAAGGTATAGGAGTTTCATCAACAACATCTTCATAAATCTAAGTCGGTTCGACGATAGCTTCCTTTTGAAGCTTGTTCATCCAAGAATATAAAAAAGAGAGAGAGCACCACCAAAATTCGTAGTTGATGTAGTTATTTTCTCCAAGATAAAATAGAATTTTTTCAGTAGCCATAATTTGGTCTTTTGATATGGATAGCCAAGAGATAGATACTATGCCAGTCAGATTATCTCAACTGACTAGCTCACAAAGGTGACCCCGAGATGAAGAACTGCCTATACCACGACGACGACGAAGGATACCTTATAACCGATCACTGGTGATTGTATTTGAGTACGAGCCTGCTTACGATGGTCAACCAGAAGGCGTGTTTGCAGGACAATTTCACAATGAAGACACGGAAGTTCATGCTTGGTCAGAAGTTGAAGGAGTGGGCCACTACCATTGGTTTTAAGGACCGATGAACCACTTGCCTCGTGAACAACAGTTGGAGTTCATAGCAGACGTTATACGACAGATCTTCATTTTTTTGCGTTGGTATTGATTAACAACAACATTGCTTTTCAAAGACCTCGAAGCTAAAGGAAGGGATGATGTTAGGGACATAATCCTTAGAACCTTCTAGAGATAAGTTTCTAGAACCTTCTAGAAGCAAGTCTCTAGAACCTTCTAAAAGCTTCTTAGTTGATAGAAGATATTAGGGACATAGTCCTTAGAACCTTCTAGAGATAAGTTTCTAGAACCTTCTAGAAGTAAGTCTCTGGAACCTTCTAGAAGCTTCTTAGTTGGTAGAACTTGCTTGAGAAGCTTCTTAAATAAGAGTATATATTGGAATCAAGGCTAAAGAGTTCTTCAGTCTGGACAACACATCTCTTAGAGCTCTAGCTCACCTCTCTAGTGTTGTTCTTGTATTCATCTGATTAATCTAGTTCTTGCTAGTTGTTCTTGAACTTCTTGTTAGATCTCGAGTCTATATTTCTGTGTCCGTGATAGGTACATACATACATAAGTATATATAATTCAAATATAAAATAATTGTAATAAATAAAAAAAGTAAATATATATATATATTTAAATCTATTTATAAAAATATATAATTACATAATATAATATATATGACTATTTATATATTTTTAAAATATAAACTTATAATAAAATTAGTTTTTTTTTTTAAAACTTATATTATTTGAATACAAATAAAAAATATATTGTTATTTTTTCTATATATATATTCTAAAAATAAATATATTTTAAATTAAAATACTAAATATAATATATATATTATATAATAGTAATTTTTCAAAATTATAAAATCTATTGACAGTGTTTTATTTGTTATCTATATATTGTATACTTATTTTAGATATTACTTATTTTTACTACTTTTTAAGTTTTAAGTTTGAATCTAGTTAGAAAAAATAGATTATCAATTGCTAAACTACCTTTGTGCACTTAAAAAAATTTATTTTCTTCAATTTTATGAATACCACTAATAATTGGTGAAATATGATTAAAAATCAAACTTAAATCTAGAATAAGTTTTTTTTATTTTTTTTAAAAAATAATATAAAGTGACAATCATTATTAACTTTGTAATATAATAAAATCAATTAAATTAATTTAAAATAATTATTATAATATATTTTTTATAAATTTATTTTAATTATAAAATTACTAATATTATAATAAGCAATTAAGAGGCTCTATTTTTTCTTATAGAAATTATTACATGGATCTCATTCTATATATTTTTAGATGAATATTATTTAGACATAAGATTTTACTAAATCTATCCACCTATGATGAGGAATATAATAACTATGATGAATATGGTTGGTTTTCTTTGGTTGTGGACAAATGAATAGTAGGAAAATGAATCCAAATATCATTATTGTTTTCATGTTGGTTAAAATGAGTTGATTGATTTAATATGTTTACATTTAGAATTCATAGTCAATGAAATATTGTCATGTGTTATTATATATATATATATATATATATATATATATATCTTGAATATTACTAATGCTACTATTGTTTTTGTTATTGCCTTCACAACCCCCCATCCATCACATGCCACTTGTATTCAATACATTTCAATCATTTGATTGAACATAAATAAAAATAAAAAAGTAAATATAAACAAAATGTCAAATGGTGGTAGGTTGTGGTGGTAGTATTTATGTATGTATGTATATATATATATATATATATATATATATTCTTTACATTATATCAATTTGATCGTTACATATATGCAACATGGGGTATATTGTTGAATTTGACATTAGTATGGTTATTTGTAGAAATAAAGAAACGAATCAAGCATGCATGTTGTTTTTATAAATTTATTTGTTTATTTATTATTAATCACAATGTAACAAACATTCCGAATCAAAATGAGAAAGAGAGGAATAATCAGGCGGGGATTGAAATTCCATGGGGGGGGGGATTAGGGTTGAACGGAGGTCATAGTAACGTTGAACTGAAAAAAGGGCGGGCTAGCGAGGTCAAAGGCGGGGTGAGGGAGGGGAGGGAGGGGAGGGAGGGGTCAGATCCGATCGTCTCTCTCATTCTCCTTCCTTGGGGGCTTAGGTCGATGAATGGGATCGCACATCGCGCAGAGAAAGAGGAAGAGAGTGGGATCGTGCGAGAGCCAGAGACTGACTGTTTGTTTGTATGTACGTATGTATGTAAGTAAGTTGCAGAGGAGATGGGGTGGTGGGATGGCATTCTTCCACCATGTCCTCCTCTGACAAGTTTCTGACGCATTCCTAGTGCGCGCCCCTGTATTGTCGGAGATAGAAGGAGCGTGGCAGCTGGCTTACTGACACTCTCACCGGCTTTCTGCCACTCCCCTCTTCAATCCCTCGTCACACACCCACCCCCCCCCCCCCCCATCACCCCCTGCCATAGCCTTTGCGCTCGCTCACTTCTTGTCTCGGCCACCCCTGCCTTGCAGCGGGACCGCTGATCTACTTTTTGTGGGCGCTTATCGTTTTGCTCCTGTCTGCTAGCGCTCTTCCCAACGAGTCTCTGAGGGGACGAGGCCCGCGACACAGAGCCTGTCGTTGAAGCGTGTGATTGGTTTCAAGGTGGTGGCATCGAGGATGTGCTGGTTGTCACGCCTCAACTTCTAGCGTTTGTGAGCCGCACCGTAGATGTCTTGCCTCAGTGTGGGCCGTGTTTGCACTTGTTGTTAAGCAGGATAGGCTCAGGGTTGACCTAAGGTTTGAGTTCATCCTGGTTGTCGCTTATTGTGGTGGAAGGTTGATTTCTCAATCGCAGCCTGTTTTCACGGGGAGGACTGTGTACGTTGCACCTAGTGCCTGGGACGATGAAGGAGGATTGAAGGTTCTTTGAGATGTGCTCCTGTTTGAATGTGTTTTCGCGTTCCTTCTGGATCCTTTTAGGGCACAGGGCAGGTTTGGTTTGTGGTGCCTCATGGTGTTGCGGCAAGCGTTTTTCACCGCCGATATTTGGTTGATGCAGACGCGCATGTGGCACCTTCTCAGCTTTTGTCTCTCACTATCTGTGATCCAGTGAATAGTGGCATTGCTTCCTAGCGCTAAGAATGGCACATCTTTGAAGTCGTTGGATATCAGCACCTCAGATACGAATCTCGGTTTAACGGTAAAGTACGTACATTCAAGCTAATGTGGAACCCGAGCGGTGCTCTCGAGCGAATGTAGACTGTCTTCCTGGGTGGACTGTCGGTTTTCACGACATTGTTGCAGATGAGATTCAGATGCGATGCAGATATCAGCTGCAGAGGCTGAGATTTCTCGTTTGAGCACATCCAGGGCGCCAGACAAAGTATGCGAATGCGGAAGCACCATCTCTTAACATCTGTGCTTCAATTTGAAAGGTTTTCCTAGTTTGCAGGACTGGAATTGTTTTGCAGACCTCAATGGCCGGCATTCGCGGCCTAGTGAAAGAAAATACTTCTCGTCAACAGATGCTGTCCACCAGTCACCTCCAATCAAGATCGATCTCTTCATCTCGCATGCGAGAGACGTTCTCTGGCCACCAAGTCTGAGGTGGATCCCAGTGAGATTTTGAAGCACTCAACGGATTGCACCCTTTAGTGAATATTCAAGTGCTGCGAGCAGATTGTCATAATGCACGACGCACTCCCCTCTTGCTTTGGGGAGTATGGAGTACAAGTGGTGGATACTTCTGCAGGGAGCAATAAAGTGACGCAAAACCTCGTCACATGCCTATACCAAACGAAGCTAGCTGGTAAATGCCGGCCACTTTCGATTACTTGGTGCAAGAATTTAATAGGTCAAGGCCTCAGTGTAAATGTGGATGTGGACCAGCACATGTGTAAGGTCGACATGAAGCCTTGGATGTTCTGGAAGAAGCAGGGTCTGAAAAGTTTCGAAGTGGATGGTATCAAAGTAGAAGTGTTTTGGGATCTCTCCTCAGCCAAGTACATTTGTGGTCCAGTCCCCAGTGATAGTTTCTTCGTGGCGGTCGTATCGGACGGAGAAGTAGTGCTGTTGCTTGGCGACATGTACAGCGAAGCATATAAGAAGACCAAGGCTAGACCCGCCTCAATTGAGGCGATCCTGGTATCAAGAAGCGAGCACGTCTTTGGTAAAAAGTATCACTCCACTAAGGCGCAATTTGAGGAGGGCGGAAAGGCACATGACATTGTAATCGAGTGTCAGATCAGCCCCTCTAGTGAGCCTCGTATGTATATCAGAGTGGACCGTGAGATTGTTGTGCAAGTGAAGCGGTTGGCATGGAAGTTTCGAGGAAATCAAACCATCATCGTGGATGGCAACCCTGTGGAGGTTTTCTGGGACGTGCACAACTGGTTATTTAATCCACGAGTTGGCCACGCTGTGTTCATGTTCCAGACTTGCTTGTCATCAGACAAACCATGGCTAAAGGAGGTCGCAGCTTGTTCATCGGTACTTCAATGGCCGGGTACGTACAGCTTCAAAGATAAGGAGACATCGGGTCCAAGTGGGTTCTCATTGGTTTTGTATGCTTGGAAGAACGACTAGGGGGTTTATATATTTGATTATTTATTTGTGAGCGTATTCTTTGGCTTCTTGAGTGCGACCTAATAGAACTAGTCTGCTTGCATTGTGAGGACCTTTAAGACTTGAGGCATTTTTTCTATCATGAGGTTGGAGCCTAATTCCTAATATCCGCACGAACATGTGGAGGTTGCGTGCCAGAAATACAGAAGAGGATCCTTTTCCTCACGCTGAAAATGATAACTGCATTGTGCTGATGAACCTAGTTGGTAGGTCACTATTGTTCTGGCAAAGAACACTACTTCCTGTGCCCAATCATGTCGTGTTTTTAGAAGGTGTGTGGCTCTGCGCATGCGGCGCAAACAGATAGATCATGCCTGGAAAACAGGGATTAGTCAGAGCTCAATATGTTCACTACATGTTTCCCTCTGACGGTTTTCTCCACATGTATACTCCAGTTAGAGCTATTGAATATCAATAGGCGATTATATAACGAGTTACAATGCTCTGTTCAACAGATTCGCCTGCTTGTGGTATTGTTAACCCATCATATCTGCTTTTCTGAGCCCTTTTATGGTCTTCCCATTTTGTTCAAAATTTGAACTTTTCCTTCTAAAATGCAATATTTATGAATCTTTGTTGTGAACTTTGTATGACTTTCACTTGTTTCAGATCCTATGCCTGAATCAGTCCAAGAGGACTACATATATAGTATCTCTTAGGTTGTGATCTGATGAGTGGTACTTCATGTTTTGGTGAGCTTTGAGAATCCAAACAAAGTGGATATGGGTGCAGGAGCCTAAGCCTTACCAGCAGTATAGGCGGTGTTATACCTCATTAGATCGGACATTTGATGAGGTCAAACCTGTAAAAAATCTGTTCAGATTTGTCCAATCCTTTACTGTCTAAAAATACGATCATCCGTTGTAACGTATAACATATTTAAACAATCCATTATCGTTACACTTGTCAGTGGCATTTTATATAGTTGAATATGAAAATGAATTTGTTCTTTTTCCAAAAATTGAAAATGTTCAGTGCAGAGGAACACAAATCAAGCCCAATTTGATGTAAACCAAGTGGAAAGTCTTTTCGAAAAGACTTGCAGGTTTGGAATGGACGACTTCAAGATTTGAACTTAACATGCTATGTTTGTATATATCTATTAAAAATCCTTTGTTTGACTCAATGCACTAACAGCAAATATGTATGAAAAACTCACAGTGAAATTGGTTGTATGAATTGATGAACTGATAGTACGTAAAATAAAATTCGAAACTGGAAGCAATTAATTTGATAATTGTAGATGACTCCAATTAATTCTTATATTAACAAGTTATTGGTAAAATAATAGTGTATAATTGGATTCAAATGTTGTAAAATTAAGAAAATAATTTAGCTGAAAATTATGTCACAACACACACTTTTAGAATTTCGTGGTTAGGATCATTTACCATCAAATTCTAAACATTCTGTTTTGGTACAACGCAATCAGAAGTAATATAAAATTTAAATTTAATTTAATTAACCTATTACAGGCTAAATATTTAGCAAATGCGTTACAAAGACAACGATGTAGATTGTCCAACACACAGGCAATAATGTTGCTTATCCAACAAAAGTGCAATTATGTAACTAATCCACATCCATCAAGTGCAATTGCTTTTCAAGTCATGATTTAGTGATTATTCAGAACTTTAATTGTTTAAAAAAGATGTTAAGGCCATTTAGATATATGATTGTTATCAAGACATGTATGATTTTTACTTTTGCAAATTCATCAGTCATACCATACTATGTTTTTCCTTTTTAATGTACCACCTTTCTATTTGTATTAATAGTATATTTTTTCACAAGGTTTGAGTAATAATTCATCAAACATATTTCGTAATTTTATACTTTTTGCCTAGAGACATTAATTCTGTATTGTGTTTTGTTTCTTACACAGAGAAAATTTTCTATGTATTTGAATGTCAATGGATTCATTTTTGTCATTGATATTTTAAGTTCGTTTTATTTTAATTTCGTTATTTTATTATTTGTTTTTTTCTGTTATATTTATAATTTCACAAGTTTATTTTCTGATGTTTTGTAAAACTCAATTCTTTTATGCCAATGTTTTGTTTTAAGTTATTATCTACAAAAACGTGTAGATTTGTCACTCCTATTTGAATGCATATCCAATAAGCTTTTAAGTTTCAAATCTTTTTTAAATATTTCATTTAGGATTTAAATTATATTTTTGGGGTCTTGACAAATACAAGCTTGTACACTAAAGAATCTTTAGTGGAATTAGAATCAATCACCTTGGTATTTTACATATTTGAGTAATTTCCACTTTATATTTTTCTAAGTATTTGTAAACAATTTGCAGTTCTAGGGCAAAAATTGCAATTGTATGTGTTATTCAACATTGACTTTACTTACAAAACCATACTAAATTATTGTCTTGCATACAATGCACTTCTTGGCTATTTAGTAGTTGTAAAAATGGTACATTTAAATATTCCATTTTGTTATTTTTTTATTATTTTAAGAAGAACAAAAAAAAAAAATGTAGATATAAATTATGTTTTCATTATTAAATTGTAGATTATTTAGCTTAGTGTATTAATTTGTCTCTAGTATGGTCTTATAATCCTTCAAATATCTAAAATTATTAATATTAATATTAAGTCTGTAATGATAATACTAAATAATTAATTGTAGACAATATTTTTAAGTTTTTTCATTTTCTTTAGTTATAAAAAAGCTTGTTTAAATTGGAATAATATATATATATATATATATATATATATATAGATATAATTAATTTCACGAAATTGAGCTGATATTCTAATTTTGCTCAACATAATTGTTTTTTGTCATATAGATTATAATAAATTATCAAAATACATATTTCAAAAATTAAATATATTTAATGTAGTTTTATATTATTATCTATATTAGTTTTTAAAGTTTTATTACTATAATATTAGTAGTTGTTACAATTTAACTTTGGATCATATATATATATATATATATATATATATAATACACAATACTTTTTTAACCTACATTAACTTATAGAGGACATTAATAGTAGTTGTTTTAAAGAAATCTTATATTTTTCGTTTTAGTTTAAATATTTTGTAAACATGGATTGAATATTTAATAGTTTAAAAGAAAATTGTTTTATCAATTGATTGTATTGCAAAATAATTAAAATAATTCAACCTTGATTTTTGACATTGGACAACAATTTACAAATAATGTTTTTAGAACTAATACTATTTTAATTTAAATCTATTAACATTACAGAATTTAATTTTCAATAAGAAAAATCAGATCATATACTTACATATGGATTGTAAGAATTTCAACAAAAATAGTTGATTGAATATATATAACAATTTGCTTTAAACTTGTTATATCAGAATTATTGAGAAAAAATACTATTATAAATATGTGTACAAACGTTTTATTATTTTGTCTTATTTAAATAAAGATGTACATAGAATATAAATTGTTAAATATTATGTAATATATTTACATTAACATTCATTGATCAATAACAGTTTTATTGTAAAAATAAATAAATAGTATTTTATCCAAAATCATAAACATGAATCCTATTATGAACCTAAAATAGTATCTGAATAAGTAAAATAAATAAGCAAAAACTACATCGTATGCTCTAAAACTTATAAAATTTGAATCATATAATTATTTTATTCATATACATACATACATACATACATACATACACATAGAACACAGATTGTTAACTATTAATATATTTCACAATATGCTTATTAAATTAATAGACATTATATATATATATAACTTAAATTTCTATATGTTAATGATGATGTAATGACTAATTAATTTATTTTAATCAATTTATTTCAACAAAAACATTTATATCTAAAATCATGACATTAAAGTTAATGACACATGATTTACACAAGAATATTCAAACACAAAACACATACATAAAACTAAAAATTTATTTTCACATGAAGCAAGCAGTTCATCAAAAAAGATAACAAATTGGAAAATTACAAGCATAAACATGGGAGCAAACGCTTTTTTCTTTTTTAATAAATAAAATAAAAACCACAAAACTGGACTATCAGAACACCATTGTTCCTACACACGATATTTCACTTATTCGCTAGACAAACTACCTCGTTGGTTTGCAAAAGCCACACTTCAATCCCAAAGTCTAAAACAAATTAGAGAACAAAAGGGAGAGGAAAGGGAAAAGAATGATGATGAAGAAGAAAGAAAAAGAGCAGGAAGAAGACGATTGTAATTGCAAGATGAGCAGTGCTGACTTGTGCAAGTCATTACAAAACAAAACACAACAGTTGTAATAACAAAACAAACCAAAACATGAAAGAATAATGTAAAACAAGTAACAATAGTAATAATAATTATAATGCACCTGTATCATCACCGCAAAAGATATTGCTTGGTTGACCACCGCATCCTTATCTGCACCCCAAAGTTGCAAATAAATATGCAGATCGTTCCACCACCACCTGAGCAGAGCACAGCAGACCATATCACTTTCAGTCTCAGCAACACTAACACTAACACTACACAACACAACACTAACAGTAACACTACACAACACAACACTAACACTAACACTACACAACACAACACTAACAGTAACACTACACAACACAACACTAACACTAACACTACACAACACAACACTAACACTACACAACACAACACTAACACTACACAACACAACACTAACACTAACTCAACACACTCGCAGGATTGGACGGCCGACACTCACACCACTACACATCCCTCACCGACACATGCCATCTCACATGTTCAGTCTCCGATTTCGAATGCACTTGCCCCATGTTTCTGGTAAGATATATTACAGCGTCGATGAATGGAGTGTTGGGTTATTGAGATACAACAGTGTCGAATCAAGTGAAGCATCGCATCGAGTTTGGATCAACCATTGCTACAATATACTACTTACTCTCTGTGGTTCTCCTACACCCACCCAATTCAACAAAAACCGCATTTCGTAGCTCATGAGCATGAGTCGGGCGAGCACAAAGAGAGAGCATCGGCACCATGTGGTTGCAAACAATAGCTCGCGCTCTCACCCAGCTTCGGGATGCCTGCACCTCAATCCCATAGCTCCTGGTTTCCACCTAGTTCTATCGCAAACACATAAGGAAGCGCTACATGCGATTCGAATTCTTCACCTTCAGCGTTTGCACGCACGCACACACGCACACAGAAATCAAACCCACTATGACAAACCTGCACAGGGTCGCTCCAGCGCCTGCAAAGCGCAACTTGAGGGCTCCGTCTTGGAGGAAGGAAGCCTTGAAGTCTGGAAATGGCTCATGCTCCGACCCCACAGCGCTGCCAGTTTACCGTCATGTGATATACGCCTGCCGAAGATTACCCAGAAAGTAAAGGTTATAAAAAAAACACAACGTACCCGTGACAGAAGTAGGGAAAGGGATCCCGTATCTTTCATACCCACTTTCATGGCCTCCGAGAATTGGATCCTAGACCTGTAGTTCCGGGAGGTTCATCCGTCGTCTATAACTCTAAACTACAAGCCCTAATCCTTCGTCGTGAGAGTTTACCTTGTTCTTCTTTACCTTATCGTACATTGCCCGGCGGGCAGGACACTCACCAGCACAACATTTGTGAGAGATCCCCTTTCTCATTGACACGGTTCTGGAACTTGGCAGAATTGGTCGCTGGGGCCCCTACGCGTGCTTCATGGTGCGATCCCCCCCCACCCCCACAGCTTGTCTCTCTCATTCTTTGAGGCGCTCTTGTGTCGACTCGTGGCTGTGTTCTCTCGCTTATCAACGGCACATTGTTCTCTCGCTTATCAACGGCACATTGTTCTCTCTCCTCAGCAGATCGTGTTCGCTAGCTCTGTGAATTCGCGATGCAGGGCCGCATTATGGCATATTTGAGCTTGTGTTGAGGTTCTTTGGTGGAGTTTAAGTGGAGCTCGACGGGTGCTTGATGAGGTTTCGCGGGGAGATATCTGCGATTGTGAGGGTTCTCGTAACAGAAGTGTAGGTCTAAGACAAGAAAAGCGTGATGTGTCGCGGCTTTGAGTGCTGGTGAGATCGGAATTTTGGTCGCGAGGCATGGCCTGCATTTGAAGTGGTGAGTGGCTGAGATGCGGATGTGGTGAGATTTTCGTGACTGGAGTTTGGTCGAAACAGGCGTGGATCTTACGACAGTGAGGAGGCTGACTTGCGGCATAATAGATCTGAGATAAAAAGCTTGCGTAGGTCTGTATGTGAAATAGGACTCTGCATCGATTTTTGACGTGCTTGGCTGAGTTCGTTTTTTACTTGGCTACCTGTTGTGGCATAGTGAAGGAAAATCGAGAATGTTTTCTTAGTGAGCTAGGCTTTTCTCCCCGATTAGCCATACTTCGGTCTTCTCTTGCAATGATGTATCACGAAGTTTGTCTTAGATTAGGGTGTGTGTGGATATCCTCGAATTGAGTTTTCTCTGTAATAGTGTGACAAGCTCAGGATATGGTTTTGAGGATTAAAGAGGCGAATGATTTTCTTTTGCATCAATGATTGTGACCTTTTTGCCAGTCGTAATTAATCAGTTCAAGAGTTCGCTTACCATGAGTGATTTGGTTTCCCACCCTACCTTCGTTGTTCATAGGAGCATTTTGTTTTGTTTTGTCTTTTTGTTTCTTTTTGCTTCCGAAACCTGAGCAGATGTGCAATGGACGTTGGATGAAGATGTGAGGGCAGTTGAGTGATGGTAGTTCTGCAGGATGCAGTTTTGATGTAATCCAGGTATTTGCTTGCAGGTATTTGGTTTCGTTGGGATCTGTGCAGTAGTGCGTTCAGTAGTAGACAAGGTGTTTGATTGCTAGGTTCGTCCTACAACTGGGTGTGGGGAGCTGTGGTAAATGCATTGGTAACTGCAATTATTGCAGCTCAATAATGTTCTAGATTTATCGAACATGAGGGCAGGCAGGCGTAGCAGTGGATAGAAAGAAGAGAATCCTGTGAGTAGGCTGCGAGCCGTAAGTGCATTCGGGCAGGGAAGATGTTCAAGTCTTTAAAGAAGAAGCCTGATAAAGTGAAAGAGAAATTGGACTTCAAGCTCGGTTTTCATGCTACTCGGGTTTGTCTTCTGCTTACTTACTACTCCCAATTCTTGTTTTGTACAAGATAAATCTCGATTTCTTTCATCTATATGGTTCTGGGTCATCCTCTTCTGATCCTCTTTAATTAGCCATGTCACCTGTAGATTAATGTCTTACGTCCAATTTATCAGAATCGTGGCATCGCCTATATAGATGGATGTGAGAATCGGTCTAGGTGTGGTACTTACATAATTACGAAAGTCTCTTATTAGTTTAGTGCAATAGGTTTGAATGGTCACTGATGGTTATCATGTCGTTGAAAATAGCAGTGTCAGTTTCAATGTGATATCAGCAGAACATTGTGTCTGAAATGCGGGTGATTTATGCTGAGGAGTAAGGTGGAGTAATTTGTGTTTTAGGTACCATCTCAAGGATGGGACAAGTTAGTGATTACAGTAATCCCATACGAGACAAACCGGCCTGTAGCCAAGACTCCAAGGGCGGTCGTGAAAAATGGAGAATGCCACTGGCCGGACAGTATCATAGAGACAACAAGGATGGTGTATGATACTAGAACAAATTCATATGAGGAAAAGAAGTACAGATTTATGGTTTCGTCCGTAAGTTTCAAAAGGATTAACGCCCTTTTAACTGTCTCTTCTGTTTCGTGTAGGCATATGGTATTTCTTGGCGCCTGCTTTTAATTTGCAACTCATTCGTTAGAGCAAGAGTTGAGTTGGTTATGATAACAGTCTGTATATCCTATTCAATTGGACTTGAGACTAGGTTTCTCAATTGGTCAGGTTCTCAGTAGGCTCTTTAAGAGGTTCGGGATCGGCTTAAGGTAATTCGTTCATATTTTGGCTCTGCTGAGCAGGGCTCATCACGCTCTGGAGTGCTCGGAGAGATCACAATCAATTTTGGAGATTTTGCTGCCTCGAAACATCCACAGCAAAAAGGCTTGGCACTGAGGAATTGTAACACAGGAACCTTGCTACATGTACGTTCCTTCTATTCGTACGGTTACTTGTGAAATAGCTCTAGCTGCTTATGTTCACGGCGCATACGTCAGAGATCTTACTATCATGTTTAACAGTCTGCTTCAATTAACATTTGTCGGAATGCCTAGGAGCCATTAGTTCTTTCTGAATGCGTATAGCTTAAAAGTGAAGCATTGATGATGTGGCAGGTTACTGTTACGTGCTTAACCCCCAAATCTCACGACAGGTAATCATGATATTTTGCATGTTCACCATTTCCAGAAACGTGTGATTTGCTTGAAATGTGGATGAAGGTGACCGATTGTTGATTTTAATCACTGAATTAGTGATATGAAAGCATTTAAATTTCGAGCTTCCTCTTCTTTAGTTTTTCAAATTCATTACGTGCTTTATTTTTATGGATTCAGAATGTATGGGAATTGGGCACGTAGGGTGTTCTTGTTTGCTACAATTCTGACCTGGTGTCTATGACTCGTCAGTGTCAAGGATTCAGACAAATCGACAAAGCTTGCTCATGAGGGGGATGAGGAGGAAGATCTAGCTTCTGAAGATGATGATCATGACAGGCTGAATAGAGCGAGCAGTAATGGTCATATGGATAGTCCCCGCAAGGTAACGCTTGTTATACAGCACGATTTACTTCGAACGCGAAATTAGTTTAAAGCTTGTCCACGGGAATATCAGTGTTTGATTGCGTGTTAGCAAGGGAAGAGTTACATACCTACGGTTCTCTCTGGGTACTGATAGTTGGTGCTGTGACAGCCTTCTCTAGACTCTCCGCCTTTGTCACCATCGTCACCAGCGGGGAGGAAACTTCAGCAGGTGAGGATAACTAGTTATAGGGTCATTGTTCTTTTGCATTGAAGACGAATCATGGGTTTATGATTTTGACTATATGAATGCGACAGATTCAAGCGAGCGATCATCATCAGATTTCCATTTCTTCGCTTTTATGATCGATTGTTGAATGATTCTACTTGCATGATATGCTTTTGCAGCGAAATATTTCGACGTCCTCCTTGCGGTACAGCAGCAGCAGCTTCGACTCGATGGAGGTTCCATCAACACCAGGAACCGCTTCATTCACTGATGCTCTGCACGGATACCCTGGCGAGGATAATTCCTCTTCTAGTTCATTCGGCAGTATGCCAATGAAGCTGGATCGCAGCAGGGATAATGCAGGTGTCGGCTCTAAGCCCTCATCCCCTTTGCCGAGTTATGGTCAGAATCAATCTCATTCCTTACCAGCAACTTCTTCTGGAAGGCAGCAAGTCGGGCCAACCGAACGGAGCCAAAATACTAATTGGAGTGGACATGGTGATCACACGCATGGGGTTTCCGGAGAAACCTCCGTATCTACTAGTGAGGATCCTCGGATGATGGCAGCAGCTTCCAAGCGACAGTCACTCAATTCAAATAGTCAAGTGGACAAGTTGGATAGCAAACCTGAGAAGAATATGCAAGTCAATCAAGAAAAGGAAATGGACTTATCTGCTCTCAAGGCTGTGCGAGGCGGTTTGAAACAGGAAGTTGAGAATCTATCGATAGCGAGGCAGGCCCCACGGTTATCTGAAATAGGGGTTGATGAATCCCGGTGGGTAGTATCTTCCAATGTCAAGTCTCCCGTATTGGTGTACCTCAAATGGCTTACGCCACTCATGAAGGCAGTGTCCGTGCATAGTACTGGAGAAGGATCATGTTTGTACATTTTCCGTTTTCAGCTATATTCGCCATAGCTGGCATTGCCTTTAGCGTAAATGAGTTGGCATTCTTCGCCAATTTTCCTGGTTACCCAATTTATCAGGCCGGAGATTTGTAAAGCTACTTTACATGTTAGAAAAAGAAACACTGTGACGTGTATTTCATCTTATGATATAGCTTAACTTTGCGTGTTCACATTCATGTATTTGTGACTATCTAAACAGAAAGGCACTGAATTGTTTCATTCCTGAATTTTCAGAGGGGCCGTGGAGGATGCTCATCGGATAATTAATGAGCTGAAGGAGGAAATCATGTTGGAGAAGAACACTATCAGCAACCTGAACCTACAGCTGCAGAAGACAGAGCAGGACAACAGGAAATTGGTGTCCGAGATTGATGTTCTTCTTGATGCTGCCAAAAGTAATCATACGTCCCAGGTTGCTGAAGACTCCTTAGCTCATGTTGAAAAGGAATGGGCTAAGAAACTTTCTGTCAAAGACGATGAGGTGAAGCATTTACAGGCTAAGATATTACATTTGGAGGAGAGGGTTTCTCAAGTGCAAACTAATGTGAGTCCACTTGCAGGAGGCGCTAATGATGCCCTTGTCAATGGTCTACAAAATATGGTGAAACAGTTGCAACAAGATGTTGAAGAACTAGAAGCCGACATAATCCGGTTGACAGAGGAAAAATCCGAACTGCTTGCTCAGTTAGAATCGACTGAACGAAGCGCTGTTTCAAAGCCCTCTGATGTCACTCCTCAGATTCGCGCCTCTGAAAACTTGGTGAAACAGCTGCAGAAAGACGTGGAGGAACTAGAGTTGGATACAGTTCGATTGACAGAGGAGAATTTAGAGTTGCTTGCTAAGTTGAAATCGAACAGTTCCGAACTTAATGAGAAAAATAGACTGATTGCAGACTTGATGGATTCAGAAAGTTCTAAAGAGGGGCGTACAGAGCTTTTGGAAAAAGTTGCGAGCTTGGAGGGTGAACTGGCGCTGTTGAAGGAGGAGAACGCTCAGATTCTTCATGAAAAGGAAGAAGCTGAAAGGACAATTCAGCACCTTCAGACGGGGAAGCAAGAACTCCAGAAATCCATTAGGAATTTAGAAGGCAGTCAACCAGACAGAGTAGATCGAAGTAAAGATCGAGAGGTAGCGAACAATCAGCTATTTCAGCAGTTGGCTGAAACCGTGGCCGGGCTGGAGGAAGAACTTCGAGAATCACAGGAAGAGACTAGACTTAGCAGGTACATGCAGCTTCTCATGTGCTGCGCAATATGCTCGCTTTGTCAATGTAATTTGTACTCCACTTGTCTGTGCGACCGTTATCTTTTTCCGGTTTAGGTGCTTATCTGTGCATGGAAGCGTACTAACGATTTCTTGTGGTTTCTCATCTTGATTGATTTCAAGGTTGCGTATAGAGGAGCTCGAACGTGATATTTCAGAACTTACCTATCCTGACCAGACCCATAGCTCTGTGGAATTGGAATCCTTGAGGAAACTTCTGGAAAGTGAAAAGTTGGAAAAAGAATATATTCAGCGTACTGCTGAGGAGAAAACTCGCGTCAGCCAGGACCATTTGGCCCGTGCTCTGGAAGAAATCGAATCGCTCACAGAACGACTGGAAAATCTCTCAACGGAAAGGTGCAAAAATGAGGGTAGGATTTCAGAGCTTGAACTGGCCAAAACTATCCTGGAGGATAAGTTAGCAGCTTTGGAGGAAGAAAGGTGCAGATGTTCGATCGTGTATCTGGCCTTGAGTAGCAGTCTGAAATACAGTGACCGAGGAGCCGGGACTTCCGACAACAGGAAGCAAGAGATGTTGAGGAGGAGAAGTCTTACCTTCTTAGCGAGAAAGAGCGCCTTCAAACTGCTCTGGATTCTGCTACAGAAAAACACCATGAACTTGTAAAACACTTAACCGGAGAGTTAGATGAAGCTATGAAAGAATGTGAGATTTTCAAGAATTCCCAACCCCCTTTGGAACAGGAAGTCGTGCGACTACAAGACGAACTAGAGGAGGCCCATCATGATCTTCGAGAGCATACGAAAACCTTTGAAAAGAGCCGTGCTATGCTTGAAGAAAGCTTTCATACGATCAGCAAAGACCATGCTAATGCTGTTGCTGTTTCAAAAACATTAGAGGAACAGGTTGCTCAATTACAGAGTGATTTGGAGGATATGGAGATGCGATCTGCTACAAAGTTAAAAACGTTGTCTATGTTGAAGGAGTCGGAACAACTCCGATTGGAGAAATCTGAACAAGCCTTGCAACATAGTGCATCTCTACAGAAGGATAATGCTGCTCTGGAGAAGCGGGTTGCTGAGTTAGAATTATTACTAGAAGAGAAGTCAGGTGATGCCAGAACAACTAGTAATGGACTTCTAAATTCAAAGAATGGACACGAATTCCACGAGGTACATTTACACTTGATGATCTTTATAGGAAACCTCCTAAGTTTCTTTTTCAATTTTCAATTTTTTTAATTCATGATATCAAATATTGTGCAGCCGAGGGTAGATGAGGGTACTAATATGTAATGCAGTCTCCATTTTTTTTTGTGCTTTGGTTGTTCAGTTCTTTATATGAGTCTTTCTTAAAAATTCTTTTACGTGTATTATGGAATTCCTTCAATTTTTATTTCGTTCTTGCCACTTGATTTCATGTTGTGAATAACACCTGAGTTCGTAATTCTGCTAATTCTGTTTCTTTCCTGGCAGCTGACACGTGTGAAGAATGAGAATTCCGCTCTTCAAAGTGAAGTGGGCCGTTTGCAAGAGGTTTGCAATCGTTCTTCGTGATGTCGATAACGAATATCTTTTTGTTACTCCTCAATGTTCTTTAAGTTCTGTTCGATGCATTTGGAGAGACGTACAGTCTTGTGTTATTCTTGCATATGTATCGGGTAATACCGAGGGTTCATCGGATACAGAAAGCTAGACTGATTAAAGGTTTTTTTTTTTTTTTTTTTTTTTTTTTAAATTTAAAATGACAGGTCAATGAGTTGCTGGACAGCAAACTTCAGAAGTACAAGGCAGCTGGAGCTGGGTCTAGTATGGTTGACAAGGTTGTACATTTAGAAACAGAATTAGCTGAAGCGTTGGAGGCTAACAATATGTACAAATTGCAGCTGCGAAGGTATGTGTTAGTGTGCTATGCCCTCGTTTGCTCAGCTTTCGGTCCATTTATCGCTTGAATTTCTCATGATGCAGTGCCAATTTTAAATGTAAGCTGTCCCACTGTATGGGAGTGGGTTGTCACTCTAACCTTTGGTTTCTTCTTGTTTTGGACCAGTGCCTTTGCGGAGCAACAAAATGTGCATGCTGTAGCGCTTCAGAACTTTGGCGATGTGGACCAAGTCGTAAATGATCTTGTAGAATTACGAAAGCGTGTAAAGCAGTTGGAGGGTGAGTTGCGAGATATGCGGGATCGGTACTCTACAATGAGTTTGCGATTTGCTGAAGTCGAAGTTGAGCGAGAGGAGCTTGTAATGACTATTAGGACCCTTCGAAATACACGGAGATAGAAATTTCCTCTTGTAGTGGCAAGATCTTGAATGCAAGAAGCAATACTAGTAGCGATTTTAATCATCAGTAGAGGAAAAACTGGTCATATCTGGACCTATTACTAGCTCATCTGGTGGCTAGTTCTACCGAGCTATGGGAGGTCCTTTTAGAGATGTGGCTGGAAAAACCATCTCTTTATGTAAAATCACTTCCCAATTCTGATCGTCCAAATGTATACGTGAATAAGGTTTTACCTCATCTCCGGATGTGCCCTACCTGCCGAGGTTATCAACTGGACTGATTTGGGGCACACTAGGTAAGGAGCTCGTGTAGTTGCTTTTAATTCTTGGATCTCGTTTTGGTATCATTCAATTCAGTATCTAATTTAGAAATCTCTTTTATTGTACTTCGAAGTTTACTCCTCATCGCACTATGGAAGTTTCATATGCGTGTTTGACAATGTTTTGTATGCTTAACATTATGCTCTACTCATGATTCACCGCTTTCCTTTCTCCAGCAGATCGGGCTTCTTTTACCCCAGTGTTTTCAGCCAGAGTTGCTTTTGAGCATGTGAACTGACACCAACAAAAGAAATAATGGTAGCTTTTGTTGTGACGCGCACTTCATCATATTGGTGCCTAGTTTGGGTTCAGGGTCATTTACGGACTCCAGGACTGCACCTATAGTTTCATGGCTTTCTGAGTATTAGGGTATCCTTCCGCTCACTTGGATGCATCTGTGGTATGAAGGATATCACTGTGCAACTAATAGTGCACATTTTTGGGAGCTTAGAATTTTAACTGGATCTTCAGGTCAATATAGGTTGCAAAGGTGGCAGTGATGGGAGGAGTCACTGATAAAGTGTAGAATATACTCACAATGCATGGGAGGATTTTCAGATGATCCATTAGGCATTTTCGAAATTGGGGAGCCTACCAAATAGCAAAGACGGAACATCGAAGGGCTTGCATTCTATTTGATCAAAGATGCATTAGAGACTGAATGATGTGCACCGCTACGAATTGATGCATGGGTCTCTACTATATTTCCTCGGTCATGAATTACTGTACAGAATGTTGTCCTAGTTTCAAACGAACGCTGGAGCAATAAAGGTTTTTTCATATTCTGCAAGTCAAGTTGTTAGGTGTAGTCGCGCTAATCAAATTAATGCGTGCAAAAACTGCGTGTTGTGTTAGTTGCGTGCAAGCACCAGTGTAAACAAATAGAAGCCTGCGGAAAAATGGTTTTTTTATAATAGACAATGCGTAAATAAACAGTGCCTTTGTTTGATTTTGGACGGTACAATATCGAAGCTCGTATTATATCCACTTGTCGTTCGAGAAAGCTAATCATAAAACCTTTCAGTAAGCTGTGATGATATTGAAACACAGATGACCAAGTACGCATGTGATTGAATCTCTCTTTGAATGCATTGTTTGAGAATATTTTATATTGCTTTCAGAAACTTCTTTTCTACTATTTTTATATGTTCCTCAATGTGTTTTCTTTCAGTAAGTGTCTTTTCTACTATTTTTATATGTTCCTCTATGTGTTTTCTTTCAGTAAGTTGACATATAAATGTTTGTAAACCACTAATAAGGTTTCTTTGAATTGGAACTGTATTTATTTTAAAGAAATTAATAAAATTTATTGAATAAATAAATAATATTAGAATATACTTGGTATTAGAAATATTTTTAACAAAATATAATATCTTTTATCTCTATCTTATACTATCACACATGTATTTTGCATGTTTTTAAATACTACATAATGCACAATATCAAATCATTGATAGAATATATATATATATATATATATATATATACATAGACAATAAAAATGTTCAACTTAAAAAATCATTAATTATTATTTTTAATTAAAATTTGGTTTACATATATATATATAAGAAAAATGTTCAACTTAAAAAAGTATTAATTATTATTTTTAATTAAAATTTGGTTTACATATATAATAAAAATGTTCAACTTAAAAAAGTATTAATTATTATTTTTAATAAAAATTTGGTTTATATATTTATCTATCTATATATATATATATGTTTTCAATCTAAAAAATTTTATTATATGATTATTTCAATCAAATGATAATTTTTTTGGTTTGATTAAGAGTTATAATGACAACTACGTAAAAAGACAAAGAAATAGTATTTTTGTCCATGTTTAATAAATGCAAACCAATGGACCAAATAAGTTATCTAACTAAGTTGATAAGGTTAAATATTATCAAATACTTTTTTATGTTTCTATTTCTTATTCAAGTACATGTGGTTTTATAAATAAATCAATGTAGCAATGGGCACATACCAAACACATGGTAGAGAGTGCTTGGAAGTTTAAAGATGCCAACAAGATGAAGAATACTTGTAGATGAGAGATAGAAGAGGTATACATGGTAGAGGCACCTATGGATGATGATGAGGGAGATATATACCTTTAATGAATTATAGTAGAATTTGCAAGTCATATTTTAATTATAAAATAAAATTAAACTATTTGGTTTATAAAAAAAAATGTGTAGTTAAAAATAAATAAACATAAATTATGTCCTTTAAAAATTAATAAAATTATAATAAATATCTTAATATGTCTTAAAATAAAATTAAGAATAAATTATTATTAGAAGTTGACATATTTTTCATGGCATCTTTTGTCTTTAAATATTACAATTTATATGATAGATATCTTTGGTGTTAAAGATAATTCAATTAAAGATATTTCTATTTAATATTATTTTATTCAAATTTAGATTAAAATCTTATTTATCATTGCCAAATTCAAATAGATTATCACCAATCTTGTAAATCGGTACCATTGATTTTTTTTTTGTCTTTCAATACTTGTTGTAAAGATTAATAATATTTCTACTATTTAGATTTATTATTAATTTTTTTATATTTGATATATATATATATATATATATTTTAATATCTATTAATAGTTTATTAGTACTATAAAACTTATCTTAACATAAAATCTCTTAGATTTATTATGTCCAACAAAATAAAATTTTATGTATCTTATTTCTATTTAAGAATTTCAATCCATCTATTTCTATTAGATTCATCTCAAGAATTGACAATCTAAGCACTTCATTGTCTATATTCTACAAATTAATTCATAAACATGTTTTTTTTTTGATTTATACCATCTTATTATTAAATAATTAGTCCTTGGTTTTAATGGATGTTGTTGATGAAAAGCACAAAGAAGTTTTGACACATTTGTTAGATTCTCACATGGCTCCTATGTATATTTATCAACATTATATGTATACCAATGTGTGACATATTCTAATTTTATTCAACATTGCCTTGAATCCAAGACTTCTTCTACTTTAAATTCTTCATTCTTATATATTTTAATAAGAGGTGGTAATGACTATATAGATATATATATATATATATATATGGAATATATGATAGATTTTTATTATTAATAATAATTACAATAGATATATCATTGAATTATTTTTTTGTTGATAACAATTGAACTAAGCCTTTGATAATCTAACTTGTCATAAGTTCAGTTAGTCTTGATATTATAACAAACTAATCATACCTTATCACCAAATTTATATAAAGTTTCTTTGTTAAAAATGTATGTACTGATTTTTTTTGTTGTTCTTGAGTCTCTTTTAAGTGTATTTTTTATTGTTGTTTGAAGCTCTTTCATTCTATTTGCCAAATCCTACTACATAAGATTATCTTAGTATTAGATGAAGTATTTAGATTATTTAAATATAGAAAAAATTATAATTGTCATGAATATCTTGAAGAAAGACATATTTTTCTTCAAATAGATAGCAAGATATAACATGTTTAGTTCCACAATCTTAAAAGAGACTCTTGATGCTTAATAATATTGTTAGAGAAGAACACTATATCTGATGGATTGCAAAATGTGTTGTTTGTAGGTAGCTATAAAGGCCTCAATAATGAAAAAATAATTAGATGGTCTTCTTATCTTGATATAAGATATTTTTGATGGTTAGAAAAAGCCTAAATATTACCTTTGTATGGAACAAAAATTAAAGTTTGTTACTAATATTATTCATCGAATTTTGGACTTCATCAACCAACAAAGTAATCTCACAATTGGTTATAGAAATTGTTGCCTAGAAGAAAGAATAATATAACAAATAACTATAATTACTAGTATATTTTCTTAAACAAGTAGAAATAAGTTAAATTATTGATATCCTATTGGACAAATATTTAGAAAGTTTATAGACTTTATACATGTTTATAAATGATTGGTAGGTTGACAACTTGGTTACATATCACACATTTAGCCAATAGTATTACAAGTTGACCATATAGTGCATATGTTAGAAACTCACTCTACAAATTTGACACTTATCTTATAAGTTGGATACATGTCATATGTTTTATATAACAATGCTATATAATTTTTTAGTAAATAATAAAATATATATATGTATATATATATCTTTATCTTTTTATTTCAAGATATATAAATTGAATCCAAAAAAATATTTATACTAATAAAATATAATATTAAATTCAGTAGTGGTTTATATAAAAAATATTTGACTATATATAAAAATAATTATCTTATATCTATTAAGAGATTTATGTTCTTATATTTTTTATATCTATTTATATATATTTCTATTTAATTAAAAAATAATTTCTTAATAGAATTATGAATACAAAACCATAGAAGAATATTTGTTATAAAATTACAATAATTATTTCTAAGAATGTTAGATTTTTGGCCATATTGAATTCTAAATTTTTATTATTAAAAGAATTATATCTATTCTTTCTAATTCTTTTTGATTTAAAATACAAAAAGTACCAAATTTTTGTTATTGTCAATTTTTTTTGACAATAATGCATAAGAAGCTCCATAACTCCCTTCTAGTTGCCATTCAAGATGGTTTTTAAGGTCATATTGCTACCAAATCTATTATCAAAATTATCTTGTATAAATTGGCTAAAAGAAGGTGTACTTCTACTTCTTTATGGTCCAATCTACATCTTAAATATCTTTATTGTTGTCATTCTTTTTGCTACAATGACATTGTAATTTTAAAATCTTATTTTTATATTTTGCTAGTATTTTCAAACATATGATTTTTTTTGTATTTATCTTGATTCTATAATTTACAAAGACTTGATCAAGTCATTTTATTCTAATAAAAATATACATTCATTATATTTCTTTGATTTTTTTAGACCACAATTTATGACTCTTATGTTTATTTTTTTTATTTATATGATTAAAATTATAGTCAACACTTTAGAAACAAACTTTAAAAATATATTTTTTTAATTTTTTAAATAAAAAAGATTAAAGGATATAATATTAAAAAAATTTCATACGAAAAATTCTTAAATGATTATAACTTTAAATTATACTATTTTCTATTTGAATTATTTTATTTAATATTTTTAATAAAAATTCTAATCACAAAAGAAGCAATTATAATAGTACTATGACTAGAAAAGTTAATTTTAATTGAATTAATTTTTAAATTATTTGAATAATCATTTTACTCTTAGTCTTTCAACTAAAATTATAAGTTTATTCTAAATCTGTTAATAAAGTGTTCTTAAACAAAATGATTCCAAATAGGGTCTATTTCTACTTATTTGGGCATTTTAGGATATTTTTAATATTACACTTCTAACAAATTGTGAAGTATATGATAAGGCTTTAAAGATTGTACAAAAAACTATAAAAAAATATCTTCCAAATTATACAATATTATTGGCATATTATGAAGATAATTAAGAATATTAGGTAGATAATGAACTCATATGATTTCATATAATAGTCTCTTTTGCAACTAAATCTATTTAAACAAAGTAGGAATTTGGTGCCATCTAGAACATGATATAAAAGATTCGGCCAAAACTTGAGAATCAAGTTTCTTACAAAACAATGAATAGAAAATAAAATTAATGTAAATTTATTTATTTATTTATTTTATAATATATTTTTTATTTACCAATAATTATTATAAGAGTCTTTAATCAAAAAAATACTTCATTTGGATGGATCTACATTGTTAAGTCAAAATTATAATTTAGAATAATACCAAAAGTATGAAAAAAGTTTTAAATTTTAAATCCTAATCTTGGTACATCTTAACTTCAAAAAACAATTCATACCATCTAATCTATTATCATAATTAAAGCTTTTTTTTGTTAATATTTTTCAAATTCTACCTCTTTTTTGGATTTCTTTTTTCTTTTTCCTTTATAATGTTTACACATTGCTATGATCATTAAAAAATAAATGCACAAAAATTTACTCTTAGAAAGAAAATGAATTCCTTATGTCTTCTATATAAACTTTTTATAGTAGAAGACTCAAAATTAGATCCAAATAACCAACCACAACATCAATAAAATGTTGAATAGCATTCATATCTACTATTATATCATTACCTTTAATATGGTTAGGAATATCACAAATTCTACTTGTATTTGTTGGTAGATATTAAGTTTTTTGGTGTCTATTACAAAGATATTCTAATTGCTTATAAAACTCTTTAATGGTTACATTTTTAAATTTTTATTCATAATTAGAGATCAAAATGTGTTTATGCGTTCTTATAAGTATTATATTCTTCTCTTCTACTTGAATCCTTTAGCCTTCTAATAAGGCTACAAAATTTAAGTATATTTTTTTAATATTTAACTATTTATCATTATAATTTTTATTATTATCTTAAATGCACTTAATGCACAACTTTGAATATTTTTAATTACTATAATAGTATAAATTTTACTTATGTAATATTTAGATAATATGATATTATTATAATATAAATAAAATATGAATATGATACAATTTCATATACATTACATATACATTATATATCTATATTTTAAAAATAAAGTTTCATCTTTTAAATTCTATCTTTTTTAAATTTTATAATACATTCTTTGTTGTTTTTGTTTTTTTTTAAAATTATATATATATATATATATATATATATATATATATATAGATATATATTTATACATATATTTATACATATATATATATATATTTATTTTTCTATTAATTTTAGTAAAAATAGATTAAAATCTATTAAATTATATTAACTTTTTATATGAAGATTTTATAATAAGTTCTAAAAAATAATTTGAAATTTAAAATATAAGATACAAAAATAAGATTATAAGTATATTCTTTTAATAAAAAATATTATAATTTTAAAAAATAGTATAGAAATATATATAAAAATAGAAATATCTAAGAAGTGTGTGAAGTACATACTAAGGCCAAAGTTATTATTTATTATGGATATATATATATATATATATATATATATATATATTCTAATATTTATCTATATGATTAAATAGAAGTAGGTAAAAGTAGATTTATTTCATAATATTTTATAGAGAAATTTCCTAAAAGCTTCATAGACGTTGCTTTGACTTTACATATGTTTGTAGTTGATTGATAGGTTAGAAACTTGGTCAACAAGTTAACCACGTGTTAATAGCTTGTGGAACAAACTAACTATGTGGCACACATCTAGAAAACTTGCCTTATAAGTAAAGATACATGTCTTACAAAATCAACACGTTTTGGAGATTCTATAAGTCACTACCATATAGCTCTTAGTTAAGAGTATATATGGAGGCAAGAGTGAAGCCTTCTTCACTCTTGTGAATGCCTTTTTAGTCCTTAGTCTTATTTCAAAACTTTCTAATCTTCTTGTCTTTGGCAATAGCCAATCTAGTTTAATACTATACCATCTTTGAGTGATTTTTTAGTCTTTTTGAGTGACACAAGAGTGTATTGAGGTTTTTTTCCCTTTAAGATTCATGTCCTTAATATTATTTTAGATATCTTCTATTTTTTTTCTTTGTTAAGCTTTTATCCACTTTTTAACTATCTATCTAATATATTAAATAGACAATTTGCAAAGAATACAAGATTTAAAATCAGGCCTTTTATACTATAGAAGCAATTTTTTTATTATTTAGAGGAATTTTTTTTGAAAAGATTTTATTCAATTAAAATTTTTTCTTTTATAGTCAATCTTATATTTTATTTAACCACTATTGAGTAAGAAAGTAGGAATTTAAAAATATATCTTATATATTAATAATTAGATAGAAATAAAGAGATGTGTAGATATGTAGAAGATAATATTTGCTAAATTAATTAAATTTAGATTGCCAAGTATGTTTTCAATATTAAAAGATTAAAAGGAGCCAACTATGCTTGATATATAAAATAAGCAATTGCCATACTTTCTAAATAAATATATATACTTCTAAATGACAATTAGATTAAAGTATTTCGGATCTATTCCTTCTATATTTTGTAGTATCAAGTTTTTTAAGATATAGAATATATATATATATATATATATATATATATATATATATATTTATCTAAGAATTTATGTTGTGAATGCATAAAAAAAGTTGGATGCTTTGGAAATATTTAATAATTATATTAATAATAAAATTTACATACATTAACTTAATTTATTTGTTAAAATTATGATTAAAGTTTATTCTAACTAAAGATTTGATATAATATACAAGAAGTGTGGTTAATAACTATGTACCTAAGAACAGTTTTTATTATCATAGACATTGAAAAAAAACAAAAAAAAAACTTATACCCATTTTAAAAGAAAGACAAAAAGCATGCCATTATATAATGAGGTACAAAAAAATTGATAAAAAAGTTGATCAATACAATTGCATGGCTCTTTGTATCTACAAAATTGATCAAATAGCTAAAAAAAATAATAATAAAATAGGTGCTTTTAGAACATGTTAAAAAAATAAATGAAAAAGAAAAATTAAATTTGCTAGAATATGAAGATGCAACTTAACAATACATAGTTTCAAAAATCTTAGGCTATCTTATAAAACATCAAATAAATTTTTAATTACTTGATTTTTATTTTTTTATTTTTTTATTTTTTTGCTACAATATCTATGTTTCATATATATATTTACTATTATGCTTTTAATTCTTTTAATTGTTTGAATTTTTGAAAGAAATTAATATATATTTGAGCTTTGGTTTTATAAAAATTAAAGCTTCTTTTTAATGGTACCTTATGGACACCTCAACCCTCAACCATTCTAAAACCTGTCTCCATTCTACCTCCACCTCACCCAATAGTGCTCCTAGACATCCATAAGCAAGTCCAAAATCCTATGTGGAGCCTACATGGATCCTCTTTGGTAGCCAAGTGGCAACCTTTATGGACAACTTTTATTCCACTATTGTTATTTATTTATTTATATATATATATATATATATATTAGGATTTTGATCCTAATTTGATGGATCCCACTTCAACTAGACGGATGGTTTGTCCATCCTCGCAGGCACACTAACAACTTTAGTTAGAATTCGGAATTCGGTCAATAAAATCACTTTATAATTTATAATTTTAGAAATGAAAAAATATTTAAAGGATTTAATTTTATTATTTCATTTTTTATTTGAATTTATTTTATTTGAAGGTATTTTATTTGTGTTATTATTTTTTAAATGTCAAGCTGCATCGAGTCATCTAAATTTTATCCAATCTTTAAGCTCTATTTCATTCAAGATTAGAATACATGGCCATGAATGTTGATAACGATTCTCGGTTTATCGCTTACTCAAATTTTACCCTTGCATACTAGGAAGTCTCAAACTTAATGCCTGCAGTACTACCACTGTCTCTTACTCTCTTCTAGGAGCGGATCAAATTGAATGTTCCAAATTGATTCCATTATTACTAGTACCCGTCCACTAAAATATTCATGAAGTGTAAAAACTGAGCAATTAAGGCTTAAACAGTCATGCAATTTAGCGTGTCAAACTGGTAATTAGAGAGCCATGGACTCCTCAATGTCGGAGCCGGAATAGGAGCTTTCCATGACCACCTGCTCTGAATCAGCCATGAGAGAATGAAGATTTATCTAGTGAAAATTTAAAGGCCGGGCTGTTTGCATTGCAATCGGCGTTGCTATTTTAGCGAAGAGAAGGCCAATAGTAAGAGACATAGCCGCAACCACCATTTCAAACACAAATCCAAAACCAGAGGTTCCATTTTCTTTGAGCATGTTTGCAAAAGCTTGGACTCCAATGCCTCCAGGGACAAGAATGTTAATGCCAGATATGATCATCGCTAAGGGCAGTTCCCCTGTGTAGTAAGAGTACGTGTTCCCTGAAACTTTCAAAAGATCAATATTGAGGTCTGCTGACATGCAGAAATACAAGACAACTAACAATTACCCAAAAACCTTGATTAGAGCATGGTTTGTGAACTGTATGAAAATTCTTAGTCCCTGTATAACTTACTGCAATACAGTATACCAGGGACCCTACAGGATCAAATTCTAGGTGTCTTAGGAAATACCATAGTGAACTTGATTTACACTTGAAGACGAAGAACTTCAGGATCTAGAAGAACTCTGACCTTAGTCGGCGTGGTTTAAGAGCCAATTTACGTTGGTATTCTACTTGCCAGTCGGCTTTAGCTCCGAGATTATTCAGGTATACGAACTTCTTTTAATTTCTGACGCTAAACAATAGACTATAAACTTATGTCAAGGGAGAGCTAACCTGTGATGCCAATAGCAAAGGCCGAAATGGTTGCAGAGGTGCTCAAACTAAATCGAGGGTCTGTAAAGCACGACACCACATATCCTGCGAGTGCAGTAAGCGTCATGCCTGGCCATTGCTCAAAGCGAGCCATCAAGAGAATATTGGACCCAACCGCATAACCTAGGAACCCGTCTCCCACAGGTTGTTGACTGTGATATAAGTTTGTTGTTTGGATACTTACAGACGCACTCAACTGTTCAAGCTGAACTCCGTCACCACTTTCTTTTGTAAATCACTGTTGGAAACTACGAAAAATTTAGGTGCCGCTCTTTGTTATCAACCAGGCACTAAATACTTATTTATATAAAATATAACATTCTATTAACTTGGACGCTTTCTGAACACTTTCAATGAAATTCTAAGCTGAGAATGGTATCATTGGAATAAGCACATACCAGATGAATTTTGTCCATAATGGTAGAGTTGAAGGGCCACAAGAGTGTGGCATCTGCTCGGTTGCCCACCAGACTAAATTCTCTCCCATTGCAAGCCCAAACCCAAGCTGCATTGATGAATATAAACCACGCAATACCTCAGCCGAGCCCCTCACGTGCGACTTCGAAATCATTTCAATGTGAAATACATACCTGGTCCAAAACCGAAGCTAACGACAAACTTATTTGTACATGAAAAAGACACTAACTTCAGAGAGGTCATGCATGGCAGCTGGAGGTGAAGGGTTACTTTAAATAAAATTAAAATGAAATGTATTGGGTTGATACTTGGAAGAAGTTGGGTAAGTGATCCAAGTGTTAATGCGATGTAACACAAGCCAAGGCCTTTCAGGTTCGAAATCAAGCATTTTGATAAAAAGGCGACTAAGCATGCCGATGAAAAACCCATAATAGTTGCAAACATGGGATTAATAGATGCAATCATGTCAAGTATGCCCACAGCTGTTCCAAAAATTAGACAAAAAAATGCATCCCAGGGACCACCTGCAACCAGACGTTGAAAGATCAGTCAGTTAGATCGTTTCATCTTGTATATGCCTCCTGCATGAACTAAATTCACTTGGATGTAAAACTCAAAGCTTACATCAAAATCTCAAAGAGTATGAAATCACCCAGTGTTTCTGATAATAATGTCTTTCAAGAGGAGGCATCAACCTATGTGCTAAGTTTTATATCAAACCCACCATCGAAAAACAAAGGTGCAGATGTAGCAGCTGATACCGCATATCCAAATAGACGACACCACTTATCAAACACAGGTGGTGAATTTATAATTTTTTTGAGGCGCCAATATGAAAACGCAAAGGTCGTTCCGGATCTGCCAACTTGATTTGTGAGCTCATCAACATGCCCAAGTTTGCCCACATCTAGGTCACTCGCCACTGTCAACATGTGTATCTCTTTCCTGCGCCGGATGATAAAATTTTCAAGGACAACTCATCGAAAAGTTGTTTTGGGACAGCAGAGCATTGAAGACGTCCGAATACTGCTCAAACTTGAAGTTGAGGTACACATTCAAAGATACCAAAGGCTAGCTTTGAATTGAACGCATCACGCACAGCTGACCACTATACCTTCCGCACTGATGCTTCTGGCCCATGCAACAAGCCTGTAGCTTAACGATCATTACTACGTCAAAGATGCAACCCGCAACTCCCCCACAATCATATTGTCATTGATCGTTAAGTTACGAGGTTCACAATGGCCTCAACTATGTCGAGAAGATTAGAACTGGAAATAATTTACGCATTCTCAGAGCAAGAATGAGGCCAGGCACTTATTAAATAAACTTGGAAACTGCTGATACATAAAGAATCCTTGACTGGGACATTACACAAAAGCCTGTACGCTAGCATGGCAACTGCAATCTTCCATTGAAGGTGAACAGTAGCCATTGCATCCAGAAGGTGAAGTGAGGAAGTCCAAACCCCCAACCAAAGTCCATTCGATCATTCTTGTGTCAATCCTTTCTCACTTTCATGCTGCTTGTATCCCTACTCATTCATCCACAAGACAAATAATTGTCGACAAGGTCTTTACATGGATATAGGACCAGTTCATACCCTACCTTCAGTGAATTGGACAAGAACTTTTTTACTCTGGGGCATTAAAAATAACTTATTAAAAATGAATACTTAGCCAATTATTTATTGAATCATTTTAGAACTACTGGCAATTACGACTATATATATATATATATATATATATATAACTCAAACAATTACGACTCTGTTGTTCTATTTTCTTGAAATGAACATCCCATAACTTTCTCTTCAATATATATACATATATATATATATATATATATATATATATATTTACACACATTTTTTTTACAATTACTTCAATGAGAAATTAAACATTGTATTGCATAATTTACGTTTAAACAACATTGTAGCGAACTAGCGAACTAGCGACTGCGTTGAAACCTAGTGCATCTCCTCGACAATCAAGACATTCGAGACCAACTCCATATTTACTTGAATATTTCATTTTCCTGGTTTTCTTGCCACATTTTCATTATTTGGTCTTAGTAACAGATGACCAAGACTTTCAGCACACATGAACAAGATAATGGGAGAAGAAGATACCTGCGCTCGTTGAGGCCGCCTATTCCGGGAAAGGATAGGAGAATCAACGAGGGAAACACTGCAATGCTGGCGTCGACTTCCAGCCGAGGAGCAGCTTTATCAATCAAGTGTTCTGTTCGAGATGATGAGCTGCCGTAGGAGTGGAGAGCAACTGCGTGCTGCAGTAAGAAACGTCGACGGATTGCTATGTTTTGATGCCATGAAGACGCCCCGTTCCACTGTTTCACTGTCACATTCATACAACAGGATGAAATACATGGCATGGCACGGAAATTATAATCCCAATCAAGCCTACGGCTGTACAAAAATCTGTAGCATCATGCGTGAAAGAGAATGAAGTATCAAACCCCTCTCATCCTCTATTCCGTCCGCCTCCTCGTTTATAGTTGTGGAATCATTGTCATTATGCAAAGGTTTCCGTTCACCGCTGCTTAGTCCTTGAGAAGAATTTCGTCGTGCCGGAGTGCCAACCAGCTTCGCCTTCAGGCTTGGCGGCATTTTGACTACAACTTGTAAAGAACCTCAGCAAGAGGAGCGCAGGATTAGCTCCAGTACTTCTCAATGTCTGCACGCGTTAAGAATCCCACCGCTTTTAGGAATCTTGAATACGCTCGTAATCATGGTTGGTCGCGGATGTGAATGTGAAAGACCAGCATTATTTGTGCAGTCTCAGCTTTAAAAGCAGATTAGGGCGACCGTTTGGCATCACCTCTGTACAGGATCAAGAGAATCAGTTACCACGCAGTCCTACACTCTCCAAAGTCGAGAGCGGGAGGAAAGGTTTACGGCTTCACTTCACGTTTGCCACATTCAGGATAATTATCTGTCTTCGCATGTTGACAATTGGGAACTCGAGCTGACATTTTGAGGAGAAGAATGCCGATGTTAACTCGACCCTGCATATGAAATTTAGATCGATCCCCTCTGCGGAGGACAAGGACTCTCGTTGCCGAAAGCTCATCGAGTCAAAAACCGCCTTCCTGATGGTTTTCCAGAATGAACACGATCGAAAAAACTCGTTTCTTCCTCGGCGAGAAAATTCGAACTCGCAATTCCCCCATCGTCAATCTCGGCTTCAATCGTCAACTACTTGCTGTGTGATCCGACACACGCAACTCTCACAATCATTCTATCGCGATGCACCGTGACGATGGCGATATACTGCATGTGACGTCCACCGCACCGAGAGGGCCTGATTAGGGTTTCGATCGAAATGTAACATTATTTTTTTCAATTGCAACTAGGTGCATGTTCTTAGTTCTTTAACTTTAGACATTAGCTTATTAAATTTTAATGACTATATTTGTATGTGTCTTTGTAAGTACGTCATTGTGCTTGGTTGGATAGTATTTTGTATTTTATTTTTGGTTCTCTTGTAAATGTACTAATGTTATTTGAATATGTGTTTTACAAATGCATGTATTGTAGATTTATTTTGCAAATGTTATGTAGTTTTGTTGATAGCATAATAAATATTGTTTTCTTTTCTCAAATAAGTTGAATTTTTATATCTTGCTTTAATCAAGAGAATTGTTAGGTGGACACCTCTTTTTTATTATGTGGATGTTCTCATGCCATACATTTCTACATACATTTTTACATATACATACTAAAACTCTTATTTATATAGAAAGTTTTATGGTAATTTAAGGGAATGTTAAATAGACCCAAGTTTTTACTAAACCAACCCATCATCATTGCACCTTCCCATTCCCAACTGTAGCTTGTTGTTGGGAACACTAAGTTGGGAATATCATGTTGCAAGGTGTCAACAATTGCAAGTTATCAACAACGAGTTGAGAACAACGAGGTATAGAAATAGTTGATGTATCTACACAAAAAAAAATAACAAGTAAACAACAATTTCTTATTCAAACAACACATAAGAAGAAATATAAAACTCTTTTAAAAACCTTTTGTAAAAAAAGAAAGTATAAATTAAGTTAATTCTATTTAAATCAATAATGTATTAAAATTTTAGTATCTAATTTTTAAAAATGAGATTCTACTAAATTTGACTATTTATAAGAGGCTTATTAGAACAAAAAAATATAAAAGATAAATTGAGAAAACTTGCTTTTAAATTTATAATATTTTTATTTTTTCTATTACAGCCAATTGTAAATCTTTTATATTTTAATAAATTATGAACTTAGATGCACTTGTAGGTAAGATTTCTATTCTATTGTTTTCTTTTCTTTGAATCTTATATTTACATAGATGTATTAAAACAACATATTGACGTGTAAAACCAAAAATACATCCAATTTGGAAAAAAAATAAAATAAAAAATAGTAAAATTTCCAAAAAAAAAAAAAGTTTCTTACTTTTCAAAATTACAAGTTCGTAGTTTATTGCTAATATACATATCATAAACCTTACGTATGAACAAAATTAAAGTTCGGTTTTACAAGAACTCTTAACTTAATTGTAGGATTCAAATGTGTAAAAGTAAATGTTCAAAACTAATACTAATTCATAAAAATTATCTTTGGTAATTAAAATATATTCTTAATTTAAACTTTATCAAAATCAATAAATCTTATAATTAATTGCAAGTCTTTACAACATACACATCATATAAATAGTATCATTTCCAAAATTATTAGTATATTAAATACAATCCTTAATAAATAGATATATCGTACAACTACAGAGAATTACTTCAGACTTAGATCTATGTTGTTAAAAAATTGATATAAAGTACAGTAAATATTAGAAATATAATTATTTTAGTCAGTATAAAATTAGACACTACTAACACTATTTTATGACAACAACCCCCTTTTATGACAACAACCTCCTTGCCAATCACCTCCATGCCTAACAAAATGTTATTAAACTACTCCAATCTAAATATAGAATTTATAATCATTTAGGATCTTGTTAAAAGATTTTCTTGATGGCTAACAATTGAAGGTTAAAATAATAACAAAATAAAAACATTATCAGAAAAACATGACAGGGCACTATGCAAAAACACATTTTTTATGCTACAGTCACTTACTCATATGCCCCGGTATATGTCTAAATATGATATTTGTGAAGGATCTTACTACTACATGACTTGTTGATCAAAACATATTGCTGATAGATCTGCAATTCTTTCCGACTTTTGAGTCAAGTGAGAGCAGCACTCCAAATGATGTGAACCTGGATGAAAGCTTTTCTTTCAACCTGCTAAGGTCTGATGCATAATAAGAATGTATCTGTATCCACATCCCTTTGCTATTACAATGTGCATTAGAAATAGCTATTCATAACTATGAAAAAGATTTTGAATTATTTCTAAGACTGCAACAAAAACAACAGTCAATTGAGGTGCTTTCCAGAAACCATCACACTCGAAAAAAACAGTCTACACAGATTAAATAGGAATTTGAAACATAGTATCCTATGCATTGTGTTCATAAGCGCCCTATTAAACAAAGGACACGGAGAGTATTTAAATACCCAAGAGCAATCTCTTTGTCCCGTTTCCTGAATGAATATATATAAAAATGAATTACTTACACCGAGCGAGTCCCAGTCAGCAGAAGCACCGAGCCTCTTGCACACACACCACCTATTCTTAGTCTTCAAAGGACCACCAGTATACTCCCACAAGCGGAAACAGCCAAGGATGGAATGGCTTGAGATTTTTGTACATTCAGCTAAACATTTGTTGACACCGGTTGAGATGGTAACAACATTCTGTATTTCAACAAAGTCTAGTCAGGAATCTGAAACAGAAAACAGCTGTTTATGCCCAAACATACACAAAGACTAGTAAGTCGTTCGCTACTAAACCATCGTAGTATCCTGGCAGATAGAATAAAGAATTACATATTCAAAATAAACTTATGAAACAATCTCGAAATTTGAGATCATCAAGATTGAATTGATTGTGGTGAGACTTGCTAAGGTATCAAGTTACGGACTATTGATATTTGTTAAAGACTTTGAAGTTGTTTATATAATCGAACTAGATAATATACTGTGACCCAAACAGGTGCTACTCCGTACACTACAATTAAAACTTCAACTACCACCACCCAAGAGAACCTTAATCCTGGTGCAATACAAAAAGAGCACTCAAAACAAAATAAAGATGTCTCAAAACCCCAACATTTTCTATATCGGATCAGGCAGCAGACAACATTAAACAAACTCTTTCGGAAGCTCGGTTTTGATTAGGAAGGCATGCCTCCAATTCTACCCGCCATACAAACGTTTCAACCACATACTGGTGTTCATGATTCTACATACCTACTCATTATTTGGTAATCGAAAGGTCTTCTTCAAATATTTTGAAGCTGTATCATCGCCTCGATAACACAGTATTCGCAATAATGTATCTGGGTCAGAAGCGCTCCAAGTGCCCGTAATAGAAGGTAGAGATGGTTTGGTTCCGCCTTTCCCAATTCCATAAACGGAGTTGAATCTCTGAATAACCTCAGAAGTTGGAAGTGAAAACAGAGAGACTACTTCAGTGGCAAAGGCTGCTTCCCTCTCCACCTGCGTTGCAGGTAGTCCATCTCCATCTGCTATGAAAAGATCCTTCATACTCTTGAGATCCTCCTGCAACATACTTGCATCACTTACAGTAAAAGATCTCATTGGACCAGCTGCCATCAAAACTAGCATAAGCCCTTCGAAACAGGCTCGCATCAGGGAACCTATTACTCGATTGCTCAATTGCTCTACGGAACTGTCCGAAATAATTCCCAATTGAGTATCCAACTCTTCGATTACGGCACTGATTCTTGAACTTGCTACCCCTCCCACATAAAGCCTGTCCCACAGAACAGGTCTCAAATCAACAAAAACCACCCTATATGCTGCTATCTCCATGAGCTTGTCGATTCCCTCCTTCAACAAACTCCTGGTTTCGTATAAATTGCTGTCGACTGCTTCTGTATTTGGTTGCATAGAAGGCACATGACCGGACAGAGCAGAATCCTTTCGCCATCCAGTTCGTATCTTCTTCTCAATAAAATCAACTTCAACCAGGAGATGATGTAGAGTATTCATTCGCAGGCAAATGTGTGGAAGGTCGTAAACTGCGGCTGAGGAAGGCTCCTTCTTTAAAGTGCCCTTAGGCTTGGGACTACCTCTATCACTTCTGCCTTTTCCAAACCAAGACTTTTTGGTCTTGCACCGTGTAAGAGGTGGGATTGGAGGAATCAGAGCGTCTTTTTCACCTGAGATGACCAAAACCATGAGGACGGGTTTAACAAAGTGTGCATAAGTCGCCGTACATATCGAAAATGAAAATGTTGGTTCAAAAGTTCTGCTGCACCGAACACAAGAAAAGGAACTGCGAAACATCTAACTTACAGTAAACGATCACAAAACCATGACTGATTAGATGAAAATATGAGTGGTGGTCAAAGGGCTTACCACAACTACCAATCGCCTGGGTAGCATAAATTTTTAATGCATTGTCTATGCCATTTACCAAGTCCTGAAGTAATTCTGGGAACTGTGACACAGGGAGTGCAAAATAAGTGTTGAGCATCTCGTCCACAATACGAAGAAGCTCCACCGCCGATGAAGCGTAACGCTCTTTCAAGGAATTGGGCTCCCAGCTCTGACACAAGTCAAAAGAACGGCGCTTAGGAAAAGAGCTATGTAATACAAGCGATCAACATGCAACCCGAACTGTTTTAGAATCAAAGAAAGAAGCTCTCAAGAAGGTGTACATGACGTAGGGATCGGATGAACAGTCACAACAAGTGAAGGACAAATTGACAAGGAGATTGACAGCAAAGAGGAATACCTCCTTACTGACGTTAAGAGTAACCATTTCCTTCAGCATTTGCAACTTTTCTTCAACCCACTTCTTGGCTAAGTTTCCCACTGCTCGATCAGCTTCAAAAGGCGGCATTTCCCTGATTAACGCCTTACCTCCGTCTTCTGCATACACTCCATCTTCCACGACAACTTGAACTAACGACTTCTCCAACTGATCAGCAGCTTCCAAGACTTGCACAGTGTCTGCAGTTAATGCAGACACCCCTGACATATACTGCTTTATTTCCCTACTATAACAAGCATGCAGAGTTACTGCAGCAACACCCCCTGCGTATGGATGCCATTCTTTCAGCGAAGGGCTAAAGTTCTCTATTTCTTTAGACACAAGTGCAGATGTATCTTTCGCAAGCTGCGCCAGAGCTGGTATAGGCGCATCAGCAGCCTTCCTTCTTGTATCCACACTCTCCATCATCTGTACACTGTGTCATTAGTGCAAAGATGGTATTCCCGCGACACACGGTAACTTATAGTTGTGAAAACCTCTGTGCACACCTTTCTATGTTAAAATGCTAGAAAAGGATGGGGCGAGACATCTACTTGCGTACCTGCGCAAATGCTGTCCGAATGGACGATCGAACATACAAGTCCACGGTGCTAATCGCAATACTAATCTTCACCTTGCGTCTTTTGTCTTGATGCATGTCCTCACCTATAACCTCAGCAGATTGAACAGCCAAAGCCAAAACCTTCTCCAAGGGACCTCTTGCGCCCTCAGGAAACGAATCATGATACGACAACAGCCTCCTCTCTGTCCAAGTCTGGATAGCTGTCAGTATCGAGTGCAAGAGGTTCCACTGCTCAGGGCGTGCGGATTTATAATCTTTCACGACTTCTGCCATCTGGCTCTCAGCAGCTCCCAGAAGATCGAGCTCTTTTTGCCCAGTGTTTACGTACTGACGGAAGAGAACCCACATGAATAGCATGTTGTGAGTAAGTTGATCAATTCCCAGAACTACCCACGTTTTCTTGAACATTTCCAACATGTCATCGAGTTCCTCGAGTACTGTGCCTTCTTCAACGTGGTCAAAAACACATCCCAGCAGAGCCACGTAGAGGTTAATGTTAAACGGATACCCATCCGCCCAATGTAGAACGTCTTCGTTACTCTCTCCATTGAGTGGCCTTCCTGCGCGTGCCATCGCTGCGTTTCGTAAGGCTTGAATGCTCTCTGTGTTCTTACCAGTATCTGAGGCCCTGCAGTACATCTCCTTTAAGCACTGTCGAAGCCGAAGAGCTTCCACTCCTTGAGAGTCACCTCGAACAAGTGGGTGGGCCAGAAGCCCTGCTTCCAATATCCGAAGTTGTCTTTTTAACCAGCGCACGTGCTCCGAGGAGTCCGTGAACGCTGAAGCTGGAATATTTTGCAAGAGCTCAAGAGGAACCAGCATGTGTTCGGTGCGCCTGCTGGCCTGGCCAGCTGCAGCACGAGAAAGAGCCCGGCGTGTTCTCAAGTCGACGGTATCGGCAATTAACATTTGGTCTCGCATGAGCTCAGCTGTTGTACGAGGTTTTCCTCCTCTCCTAGATACACCGGTGTTCAACTTGAGACCAAGAGCTTTTTTCATACGGCTGGCAGCCACTGCTGTTATGCCCTTATCAGGCTTAGAACGTGCTGATCCCACGCTTCTTGCACTTAAAGCCGCGGTCCCGGTTGCAGCCAGCATGATTTCATATGCTGATTCTCGAAAATCATCCTCTGCACATTTGAAAATCAACATGATGAATAACAGAGTGCCTACAGATACGCTCTTTCCAGTTAGAAAAATATTAAATTTAAAATAATAATAATAATAATAATAATAATGATAATAAAATCTGTTCACTATGTCACAACTTCATTGTAAAGAATCGAAGGATCAATCGAAAATTGACGACAGGTAAATAAATGGCTCCCACATATCCTTTACGAGTACCTGTTAAATCGACCTTTACCCTTGGTATGGGATTTCCCAGCTCACTATTTCTCATCGTCGTTGAACTTGTTCTTGGGCCCTCAGATTGTGCTGCTGGTGCCATTGCTCCCAAATTGGAGCACACGCAACAAAAAGTCTCGATTGGTGCTCCTACAAGGCTTGTTCTGCAAATGTTAAGTGGATAGTCAGGACAGCCAACAATTGTACTACACCTTGGACATTGTACGAAAGCTCCAAAACTTTACCGAAAGTGGTACAGCTTGTACGAATCAAACAACAGTCCTGCCGTGTGAATCGTTTCAAGGGCATTAATTGCGTTAAAGATAGATAGTGCACAATCTAGCAGTGTGTTCACAAGGTATGAAACCCCGAAAGTTGGAGAAATTCTGGAGCAAAATATCTTTACTGAACTACAGAAAATAGACATAAGGAATCATGCCGCATCAGAACTTTCGTAAGCAGTTGAAGAAGCAACAGGAAATGAAACAGTCTTAGGAAACAGGGGGGTTCACCTCCAAACCCGCCAAAGTAGGAACCCTTATCAGAATCCAAGCCTCAATGATGCAAAGGAAGCAATTTCATAGCAGCGCTTCCATAAACATTATCCGGTCACAGCCTCCAGGCCTACACTGTGAAGCTCTACTCTAAGAACTAGTCACACTCTTTCAGATAAGAAACTATCCCGTATGTAGTTTCATAAGCGAACAGTGCCAATGAAAACATCACGTCCACACTCCACCTCCTCCACTCTGGTTCGAGGCCCCTATCAATCAAAAGTTAAACGGAGTCAGATCATCCAAAAGGAAACTCAAAGCGCTCACCCAAACTCCTTCGTCCGTCCAAATGCGGAGAAAGAGAGAGAGAGCGAGAGTAAGAATCGTAATGCCTGACACCCTCGCATCAAGAAAACCATCGTTCCGTTCCAAAAAGAAAAATGAAAAATGCAAAAAAATAAAAAAATAAAACAAAAGCTAACGAGTATCACTTAAACGTCCGCTTAGTCAAGTTGACGAGCAGCAAGCGGCGCAGGCAAATTTAAGAACACTCACAACAAGCTAAATTCAATCTAACCGAGGCACTCTCAAACCCGTGGCACCTACCAAGGCCACCACCACCTTCGACGCGTCAAAATGAAAATAAAAAACCAAGCATTCCAGATCTAAACCAGTAAGCTCTAGTACATTCCCGTGCCAGACCGGCAAACGAGCCTCGGTGGTAGGCACCGCGCAAACCAGTTCAGGCGCTTCATCAGGCAATGTCACGAAATCACGCACACTCACTCCTCTACACTCATGTCCGCACCATTGATGAGCAATGCGAGTGAAACAGAGTATCCATGGCACAGAGGGAAAATAGCCCGCGATCTCACCTGTCCTACTACACCGCCACCCGAAGACAGAAATATCACCAAACCAGACCAGGCAGAGGAGAAAGAAAGCAGGACGAGTCGGGGAAGGTGGAGGAGGTGGAGGTGGAGGTGGAGATCCGAAGCAGCTGGCCAACGAAATCTACGACTTCGGAAGCAATGGTGCCAGCAACTTACAACACAGTGAAAGAGCGAGCGAGAGGAGAGGGAAACGGGGAAACGGGGAAGGGAAAGGGCGTGCACGACCACCACGAAGAAGCCTCGTCCCTCCCGCCTAGGTACAGCCCATGGGAACGACGCAATGATACGAGCTCCCACGTTCCATACTTCTTCGTGAGGCCACTTGGGACACGGACGTGTTCGCAAGAGTGAGAACGAACAAACGGAGTGCGTTCCCCTCCCCTCCCTCCTTTCTACACAATGGGGTTATAGTTAGCAGTTATGTTCCCTTCCCTTCCCCGACCCATGCTTCGGCACCCAACTCCTCCGTCCAATTCTATCTATATATCTATCGCCATTTGTCCTCTCTCTCTCTTGGTGGTTCGCTCTCTCGCCGTTGGATGTCCGCATCATCGGAAGGCTCTTCTCCAACAGAAAAAGCTCCTGTGATGGGGAGAGAGAGACTCATTACTCATTTCTTAGTTTCAATAGAATCACTTTTGGTCTATCTATCTATCCTTCTATTTGCTGTTATTACTTATAATATGAGTTTTCTAGTATCATTGTGGAAGTTTGGAGAGGTGTGTGCTAATTTTGCTTGTTTCTTCCAAACTGCATTTGCAAATTTATTATTTTAGAAATTTTTCAGGGGAATGTTAAAGAGACCCAGGTTTTTACTAAATCAAGCTATCCATGTGAAGAATATGGTAATCATGATGAGTGTGGTTGGTTTTCATTGGTTTTGGATCTAGCAGAGGAGAAATTAATTTAGAGGTCCCTTTTTTTCTTTTTCTTTTTTTTTCCCCATAATAGCTAGGATGGATGGGTAAATTTAGTAAAATCCTTGGTTTATTTAAGATTTCCTTCTTTTTATTGTATAGCATGTGTCATCAATAGTGTTATATATTTACTATAGTTTGGATAAAATATTAGAATCTACTTTGGAGATATGCATCAAGGTAGGGTTACATATAATTGGTCATGTCTAAATATTAAATTTTGATAAGTTATATCTACAATTTTGCAATGATATTCATTGAGGTTTATTGATGATCATTGAAAACATAACTTGCAATGATAATTTTTATTATTAGAAATTTAAGAGAGTTTTAATAATTATGGACTGAAAGTAATAAGAAATAATTTAATTTCTTGTGGGATTTTTAATCTTGTTTATAAAAATAAATTTAAAATGTAATGAATTACAAAATTTGCTTTGACTTTATTTCATGGTTTACAAGGTAGATTGGTTTAAATTAAATTGAAATTATAGCAAACAATGCTTTTGATTTCTTTTTTATTTTTAATTTTAGATGCTTCTTTAATACATTTCATTCATACTTTGTATATAGTTAGGAATAATTACTGTCAGACATATAAAAATCTTTTGATCAACCTTATGAGCTGGATACTCAATAAAAATGATGAATACTACAGTGTTTGATGTGTTTGCAGAAATACCAGAATTTTTAGTTTAGTCCATTGGAATCAAAATCTAGGAAGTTTTATATGTGTTTGTTTTTGTTTTTGTTTTACACAATGTCAAATTACATTATTTGATCTGAATAAGCAGATTTCAAATAAATAAATAGATCATTTCATTCTTCCTTGAAACAATAAAAATAGATGACAGCTGCATGTTTTAATAAGTTCAATAAATATAAATATTGGTCCTTATGGACAATCTCGATGTAATTTTTTCATTTATTTATTCTGAGAATTTAAAAATCATCATGTCTTTGGTTTGATTACAAATAAAAGATAATTATTTTGTACAATACCATAAAATAATGTTCTTATATACATGTATACATATACATATATACTTATAAATCTTAGATTTAATTTGCTAATGTAGACATTTTAATTTAAAAAAAGTAGGAGTAATTTTTTTGTATAAAATAAGTGATTATGTAATTTTCTTGTTTTTTCTTTTGTACAATACTTCTTGATGAAGTTTTTGGATATTTATAAATAATAATTTATAAATTTGATTATTTCATCATATAAATAATTAATTTAAAAATTAAATATGGTGACATTAAGATTATGACCATAGGAATAATTATTTTTTTTACATAAATATAGAATTAGAAATAAAATGAATACTTTTATGTTATAAAAATAATATAAATAGTTTGTAAATGATAAAAAAATTTGGTATCTTTAATTTCTTATCTTTAAAAGATTAATAAGAGTACACTTATAATATCAAAGGTTTGTCTTTTTTATTTAAGAAGAGATTTTTTCTTATTTTTAATAAGCCATAAGTATATTAGAAGTTGTGGATTATCCATTCATAAAGTAATATTTTTATTAAATTTTTTATACTCTTGATCCTATTTTGATACTTGTTCCAAGAAAAATTTGATTTATTTTTTTATTTTTTAATATTTTCGTTTGTTATTATTAAAAATATTATTAAAATGAAAGATGTGATAGCAAAAATTTAGGAAAAAATAATAAAGTTATTGGTTATAATGCATCAATTCAATCTACTACTATAAGAAATAACAAAATTTATTAGAAATAAAGATGTGAAGATAGTTGGAGCTATAAATGAAAAGTTAGATTTTAAATAATTAAGTTTTGAAATAAATAAAATGAGAAGTATTAACCAATGGTGTCCTATTCTATGATATTTGCTTGAAAATGCATTGAGTACTTAGTTGTAGAAGATAAAATAGAAATTACATCAATAAGGTCTTAAAAATTCAAATAAAAACCTAAAAAAATCTAATTAAATCTTAACAACGTTAATCAAAACTTTAATCAAATCTAAAAGAAGTTTTAAAGAAATTACAAATATATATATATATATATATATATTAAAGAAATAATAAAATAGAAATTCTAAAAAATATTTTAAAAATATTAAAATTAGAAATTCTAATCAGATCTTAATGTAATCTTAAACAAGTTCTAATAAAATCTTAAACCAATTCCAACCAAATCCTACTAAAATTCTAATCAAATCTTTAAAAAAATCTAATCCAATCTTAATCAAATTCTAAACAAATCCTAATTAAATCTTAAATCTTAAATAAATTCTTAATTAATCTTATAATAAATTGATACCTCAATAATTAATAATCTAACCACTGGTTTTAATACAAAATTTGCAAACCTCTCAATCACTTAATTAGCAACAAGTAAAATCAATTCTAAAAAGATTGAACTTATCAAATAGAAGGCAAAACCTAAAATCTACTTGGATGTTGGCTAATCTCTTTCTCCAACCTTAGTACCAATCTTCTAATGATAATATTTCTAAATTTTATCATTATATTGATTTAAAATTAAACAAAGTTGTTGGAATTTAAGTCAATTATTACTATAAATATTTTTAATTTAATCTAAGCAATATATTATTGTATATCTTAGAAATCCTCATTTATCTTCTAAACTCCAATTCTTGAGACCTCATTATCTTCGAATTCCAACAATCTTCAAACAAATCATTTAATCAAGTTCAAACTTATTGTTACGGACACAGAAATACAAACTCGAGATCTAACAAGAAGTTCAAGAAGAACTAGCTAGAACTAGATTAATCAAATGAATACAAGAATAATACCAGAGAGATGAGCTAGAGCTCCAAGAGATGTGTTGTCGAGATTGAAGAACTCTTCAGCCTCGATTCCAATATATACTCCTATTTAGGAAGCTTCTCAAGTAACTTCTACTAACTAGGAAGCTTCTAGAAGGTTCCAGAGACTTGCTTCTAGAAGGTTCTAAAAACTTATCTCTAGAAGGTTCTAAGGACTATGTTCCTAACATCTTCTATCAACTAAGAAGCTTCTAGAAGGTTCTAGAGACTTGTTTCTAGAAGGTTCTAGAAACTTGTCTCTAGAAGGTTCTAAGGACTATGTCCCTAACATCACTCCCTCCTTTAGCTTCGAGGTCTTTGAGAAGCAATATTGTTGTTAATCAGTACCAACGCAAGAAAATGAAGATCTGTCGCATAACGTCTGCTATGAATTCCAACTGTTGTTCACAAGGCAAGTGGTTCATCGGCCCTTGAAGCCAACGGTAGTAGCCTACTCCTTCAACTTCTGACCAAGCATGAACTTCCATGTCCTCATTGTGAAATTGTCCTGCAAACACGCCTTCTGGCTGACCATCGTAAGCAGGCTCGGACTCAAATACAATCACTAGTGATTGGTTACTCGGTATCTTCCATCATCGTCGTGGTATAGGGGGTTCTTCATTTTGGGGTCGCCTTCGTGAGCTAGTCGGTTGAGATAATCTGATTGGCATAGTATCTATCTCTTGGCTATCCATATCAAAAGACCAAACTATGGCTATTGAAAAAATTCTATTTTATCTTAGAAAAAATAACTACATCAACTACGAATTTTGGTAGTGCTCTCCCCCTTTCTTATGTTCTTGGGTGAGCAAGCTTCAGAACGAAGCTATCGTCGAACCGGCTTAGGTTTATGAGGATGTTATTGATGAAACTTCTGTACCTTTTGCGACGCATTGGCGAGATTTTCAGCTGGCTTCTACGTTCGCTCATTAATATCGTAGCCGCACCAATGAACAAGATATTATAACTTGCTCCACCTTCGTCGTGAATCCAACACCTTTTCAACCTCGTATTCTTCATGGTTCTCGATCTCAATACTAGGTGGCGGACATTGCACTCTTCTAAGAAAAGACGACTCTCGATAAGACTCCAACAGAGAAACATGAAAGACTGGATGTACCTTCATAGAAGCCGGTAATTCCAGATGATATGCCACTCGATTGATTTGCTTCTGGATGATAAATGGTCCCAATCTTCGATAGTCCAACTTATCACATGGTCGCTTGGTCTTGATATTCTGTCGAAGAAGCCATGCTTTATCTCCAATTTTGAAAGTAGGTGTTTGATTCCGAAATCTATCTGTAGATGCCTTGTAGGATTCTTGAGTGGATTGTAATTGAAGCTTCAACGTATTTTGAAGCTCTGATAGGTATTTCACAAATCCTTCAACTGTTGGATTGTTATTTGTTGACGGATTTAATAAATCAAGCTTCAGATGATACCCATAGTTGGAAAAGAATGATGTGTATTGAGTCGACGTAGGGAGGGTGTTGTTGTATGCAAACTCGATTAGCGGCAAATATGTGGTCCAATCGTCTTGCTGATAGTTGATGCT